GAGCGGCAGGCAAAGGTGTGCAGGCACCAGCGTGTCAATCAATAGCACTGGGTACTCATATACTAATATAGCACAACAGTAAGAGAATATGGGACTCAGTTAAAAAAAAGTCGTCCCCAGTCTGCCAGTACTATCTTGGTACGAAAATAAGCGTTTAGAGGAAGTAAAAGTAGGTTTCCTTGCCCTTCTGGAGCTTGTAAGAGGATGTGTCCCCTGCCGTTCCTTCTTCACCACCTCAGCCGACCTCTCGGTGCGCCAAGCAGACTCAGAAGACCTTAATCCGTCTTCTTTTTCAAATCTTTCCTCAGGGCTCACTTTTTTGACTAACTTCCCACTGCTAATCTCCATCCTGGCACTATCTCTTTGACTATATTGAATTAAAAAGAGAGAGTGAAAAAAGCAGTACATTAGAGATTTTAAACAAAATGGCTAAGGCAATCAGTTTATACTCTTGCTGCCCTTTGCTGTTGACCCTCCCTATCTTCCCTCTTAGTATGGTCTGCTGCTGTTCACTGATTTGTCTAATTTAGACTAAGCTTCTTGAGGAAGGACTTTGTCATCTACATGTCTGCAAAGTGCCCTGCTAGGCGTGGGAAGAATGATTCAATGCAATTTCAACTGATTTAACTTGAATTTAGATCATATCAGACCCCTGTACAAAAGGTTATCCACATTTTTTACTGGTAATGGGAGAAAGGAGTAATAAGAAGCTTATGAAAAAATAAAATATTCTTGTGCAATGTAAAGAGTGAAAAACTAAGAGATTCTCTTCTTTGCTACCGTTTTGAAGTTTCACACATCTTTATTAATGAATGTCAACACACTAATTTTGATATATTACACTTTACCAAATGGTTACGCTGGAAACCGTGAGGTCCACCAAATAAAGCAGTTTGCTTTGCTATTCCAGTGGTTTATTTTGTAATGTTCTACCAGGTCCAGTTCAGTACGTTATCTAAAGTAACTCATTAACTTGTTTATAGATTATGAAAAGCTATCTGGCAAACTCCTTGTTCAAAATACAGATCTCCAGGTTTGCCAGGAATCTCTCTTTTCTGATATTTATTGAAATCAGGCCATACATAATTTCAGTATATATTTAGAATGTTTTCCAATTAACCAAACTATAAGCCCTCGGCGGCCATGTTGGCCGCTCCAGCCCTGTCTGCCCTCCCTGTGCTGCCCTCGGGGGACATGTCGGCTCCCTCTGGCCCTATCTGCCCTCACAGTGCTGCCCTTGGGGGCCATGTTGGTCGCTCCAGCCCCATCTGGCCTCAGCGCTGCCCTCTGGGGCCATATTAGTCGCTCTAGCCTTGTCTGCCCTCCCCGCGCTGCCCTCGGGGGCCATATTAGTCGCTCTGGCCCCATCTGCCCTCACAGCGCTGTCCTCGGGAGCCATGCTGGTCACTCCAGCCCCATCTCCCTTCACAGCACTGCCCTCTGGGGCCACATCAGCTCCCTCTGGCCCCATCTGCTCTCCTGGTGCTGCCCTCAGGGGACATGTCAGTTCCCTCTGGCCCCATCTCCCCTCACAGCACTGCCCTTGGGGGCCATGTTGGTCACTCCAGCCCCATCTGCCCTCGCGGTGCTGCCCTCGGGGGCCATGTCGGCTCCCCCTGGCCCCATCTCCCCTCACACCGCTGCCCTCGGGGGCCATGGGGCCAGGGG